AGACATCTGCCAAAGATCACAGTACAGCTGAGAATGAAGGTGCCCACTGATTTGTAGTATGGTGTGTGTTTGTACATCAATATTTTTCTCCATATTCCCTTCCTTTTATTTATCTTGGTTTTGAGAGAATGATTCTATCCAATTGCTGGACAACTAAAACTAATTTAAAACTGACAAAAGGCTGGGCATGGTGGCTTACACCTTTAATCCTAACACTTTGGGAGGCCAAGGCAGGAAGATCGCTTGAGCTCAAGGAGCTCAAGACCAGCCTGGGCAAAATGGCAAAAGTCTTTTGAGCTCAAGGAGTTTGAGACCAGCCTGGGCAATATGGTGAAACCCTGTCTGTACAAAAAATATCAAAAATTCACCAGGTGCAGTGGTTAGCGCTGTAGTCCTAGCTACTCAGGAGACTGAGGCAGGAATATTGCTTGAGCCCAGGAGATCGAGGATGCAGTAAGCCAAGATCCTTCCGCTGCACTTCAGCCTGGGCAACAAAGCAAGACCCTGTCTCCAAAAACTAAAAATAAAACAAAAATCAAGCTAACAACACATCAGTTCAAAAGAGTGTAAAGAATTACATCAAAATTTGTAACATAGTTCGCAGTAGGGTGTTGTAATTTTATGTAATTTTATTCTTGTAATTCTCTTTTCTGCATATTTCTCTGCACCTATGCGTGTCTGTATCTTCTTACAATGAATTGCACTAAGATTCATACTATATTTATCTGTGAATATACGGTCTACAGTGTTGGAACTGCTTACTTGTAGGAACCCTCTCTTGATATGCTTTTGCCAAGTGCAAGTAGCACTATTTCCTATCTGCTAGGATGCTCAGAAAATGCTGAATTGAATGTTGTAAGACTGAATTTCAAAACCAGAAATTTAGGCCTGCATCGTGCTTTTACTGCTGTAATAGCACTCTAACTTATTTTCTGACATTGACTCCCCTATCTTCCTCTCCTTGGTCCAGTAAGAATGATTTTTAATTTTTAATTTTTTTTTAAGCAATCTGATTATATCATGCAGTCCTTAAAATACGTTTGTTCTTGGGCCTGTAGGGTCTGACTCATGCCTACAGCTCCACCCTTACCTCACCTCTTTCTTTGTCCTCCAGTCACGTTGGCCTCAAATATCTGCTCACTGTCGTCACCGTACCAAACATGTTCCTCCATATCACATCTCCTTCGCGTCCCTACCCTCAGCCTCCAGTTATCAGCAGTTAAGTCTTTCTTGTCTGCATCTATTTCCCCTAGTATATTTCTTTTAAGATCATGTTTCCCTCTTTTGGAACAATTATTACAATTCCACTTTTGCATTTATTTATTTTAATGTTTGGATCAATATCTATTGGTCCCCCAATGAATTGTAAGGTCCATGAGTAAATGTTACATGTCTGCTTCTACGTGCAACATTACACGACAATACCTAGTGCAGGTCATAAATGGTTAACATAGTTTTGTTAAACAGATATGTAAATTCCTGAACAACCACAACAATCTAAGTGTCAAATATGACTAGATTTCAGCTAGAACGAAATCTTTTCTTCTATTTCCACTCAGAAGTAGAGGTCATATGACAGAAAAGAGAAATGATAAAACCTCTTAAAATATATAATCTTATGCTTATTTAGGCAGAGTGTTCTTCTTAATACAGTGATTAACACCATAGTCTATGAAGAACAATTAATTCTTGTTCTATATAAACATTAAATTCTATTTTTTATATGCACTTACATAGTTAGAAATTAATACTTTCTGAGGTCATTCAAATGTTAAATTATCTGACCTTCCAAAATACCATGGTTTTCTTTGCCTTAGACAAGGTTGGGAAATAAAGCGAACTGCATAAGACATTAATATCCTTGATGTGTATTGTACCTTAGGGCTGATATACCCACAGGTACTTTAGAGTTTTACTTTGAAGGTTTGAGAATCAAAAGTCAAGTTTATCAGTAGCATGAAATACATTTAATCGAATATATGAAATAATTGATATATACTATATATAGGTATATATTTATGACAATATTTATTATAATTAAAGAATTGATAATTTTGAAATATTTTTGTCTGCTTAGACATTGATTTAAATTAAAAGAGCATCTAATTATTATGTAATTCTTACCCTCTTTATACCCTTACTGACTCTCATACTCATTCATTTCTTACATCCTTTTGTTCTCAATTGGACCTTTCTCCTCCTTAATTTTGCTGTTCAACATGTGTAACAGATGTCTTATTTCTACCTGCCTCCATCTGTACATCCCATCACTATTTTCTCTCAACATCCCTCTTCATTCCTTGCTTTCCTTTATTTGATTTCTCACTAACAAGTTCTACTGGGTTCTACTTTCTTTCTACTGCAGTTACTTTCATTTTGGGGGAACTATGTAAAAAATTTCAGAAACTAAAGTTGTATATAAATATAACATAATTATTTTTTCATCCATGTATTTTTAAAGTCGTTGTCTTTCTTGAGCAAGCAATTACCTTTTGAGCTTTCATACTTGTCACCCTTAGCCTTTGTTTTTTAATCACCTTCTATGAAAGTACTACACATACAGTGTTATAAACAGCATGAGGGTTTTGAAGACAGACTGAGATGGAGTATGCCTCACCCCTCACTACTGCATTTAATTACATTTAGACAGTTATTTTATGTGTCTAAGACAACCATCAAATGGGAAAATACCTACCCCAGAGAATTGTTGTGAGTGTTAAATAATATGTCCTGTATGCAGACCTTCATTTTTCACGGTACAACCTTTCCTATTTCCCATTTAATCTTTGGTACATATGCCTAGCCATATATGGTACACTTTCTATGTTGCTTGTTACCTTCAAAACAAACTGCTTTGTTGCACACTGACAAGTAACTGGGATTCTGCTAACTCTACTTATGTTATTTCCAATGTTCTTTATCTCTTCAGTCCACACTGTGAAGATTGATGTGGACTATGATTATCATATATTGCTAATTTCAGTTAGTTTGAAAGTTACTTGTTCAAACATCACACAGATAATATGTAGGAAGGTTGGACAAGGCCTTTCTGACACCAAAGCTGCAGCTCCTGTTGTAGCATTCTGGCGTGTACCTTGACAACCACAAGGCATTAGAGTGGTGAAAGTGCTAATTCTAAGTAGACAAGAAAGGACAATCTGCTTAACAGGGAAGGAAGGTGAATACCAGACTACTTAATGGGAATCGAAAGATATACAAGCAGTAACTTTTGAACTTAGGTTGGTGCAAAAGCAATTGCGATTTTTGCTATTAATTGCAAAAACCAGTTACTTTTGCATCAACCTAATACCTATATGCCCTCTTGGTGAAGCTGGTTGAAAATATCCAAATGAAGTAAACAGGAGCAAAAAGAGAGCAGGCATATCTGTGCCAATGCAGCATGAGAAGGTGGCCAGAAAAGCTCAGAAATGTATCAGTTTCTGAACTGTAGGTTATCCTTAAAGTGTAAAGCTTATGAGAAGAGCAGTACAGTAGGATCCAGTGGGAAAGATAAGGAAAAAGTGCCACACACACACAAAATTGTTTTCACAACTATTTCCACAGATCACCAGTACAGTGTGTTCATCAGTCACATTCCTGTTGATGATGTTAACACAGATAGCTGACAGACATTTAAGAAAGCATATATTTTTATTGAAGATGAATTCATTTTATTTAAAATTAAATAAGTGCTCAGTCTTTTGGTTTTTGAAAGTACACTGAGGTGGGGGACGGAGTATACCTCACCCCTAGTTACTGCAGTTAAGTACACTGCAGTTAAACACATTGATACCCTTTTTGGTTTTATATTTTTATTTTCCAAAGTGCTCTTAATGCCAGAGTAAAAAGTTTACAAGATGCTTTAAAAATATTTCATGCCCGCTTTTAAAAATATGATGACAATAACGTACCCAAAACGATAATCCATATAATACACGTTTTGGGCTGTTCCGACTTTCCAGAAAAAAATCTTAAGCTGATGCAATATAAATTGTTAAAAGGTATTTTGTAGACGAATAAAGGTACTTCATTGCTTTACATATTTTTAAATTCCAAAATTCAAGAACACCCTTTTTATTTCATTGTAGTTTAGTTGAAGTAGCAGTGAAATTAAATGTATTCCCAAATCAAGGAGCATGCAGTCACTCGGAGGCCAGAGCACTTCCCTTATTTGTGTATACTAGTGAAAAATGCACAGAATACGTTGTTTGTTTAAGTCCCCCACATAGCCAGTGTAGTTGTTCTTACTTGTTTTACAGTGCAACCTCCTGCTTTAAGATTTAATTACTAGTTTTGATATAGGAAGATAAATTCCTAACATTAAAGGGGTGATTCATTTCTTAAATTTAGCTTGGACAGTTGCTGAAAATCTCACAGCTTGTATTCTGTCTGTAGGTATAATGGATAAAGACCAAGTTCAGTATGTTATACATGAAAGTGGGACTCAATTTATTATAGAGAAGCTTTTAATCTTTGTAAATGGCCTGACATGCTGGATTTTATTTAACAGTTGACTTTCATAGAGAAGGAATAGGCATTTCTTCAAAGAACCTGACTGAATGCTGTAATCTATTTCTTTCTGAAATTGCAGTTGTTAAATTAGACACAAAACATTTATGAATTTCAATTTGCCTTTCCAGCAATTAAGGAGTTCAAAAAAATCCCTTTGTGTTTCCTGGCTTTGAAATGATTATGTTTATTATGAACTGGCCCTTCAATTTCTTCTATCAAATACATTGGAGGTTACGTTAAAGAGGAAGACATCAGTTCTGAACAGGTGTGAAAAAGGGTTCCTTGATGTATGAAAGTGTTCTATTTTAAAGCCATTTTAGCAATTTTAGCACATCTACCGCTGTGAATCCTCGTGGAAGTAGGTGGCCAATTCATTTCTCTTTAAAGGGAAGAAAACCTATAACTCAGTGTCCTGGGCCTAATTTTACCATGACGTGGGGCAATGGGTGAGTTTACTGAAACTTTCCCTTCCTGTCTCATTGTTTCAGTGTTGATCCTCCTCATCGTCACCATGAGAAGACGGAAAAAAGAGCCCCTTATTTTTGACGAAGAAAGAGACATCAGAGAAAATATTGTGAGATACGATGACGAGGGCGGGGGAGAGGAGGACACGGAAGCCTTTGACATGGCTGCACTGAGAAACCTCAACGTCATCCGAGACACCAAGACCCGGAGGGATGTGACTCCAGAAATTCAGTTCCTGAGTCGACCAGCTTTTAAAAGCATCCCAGATAATGTCATCTTTAGGGAATTTATTTGGGAAAGATTAAAAGAAGCCGATGTTGATCCTGGTGCTCCTCCTTATGACTCCCTGCAGACATATGCTTTCGAAGGAAATGGCTCAGTTGCTGAGTCACTCAGCTCTTTAGATTCCATCAGCTCAAACTCTGATCAGAACTATGACTACCTAAGTGACTGGGGACCTCGCTTTAAGCGACTCGCGGACATGTATGGGACTGGCCAAGAGAGTTTGTACTCATAGCCTTGGAACCTTAATTTGAAATGTACTGAAGAAAAAGTAACAGCAAAAAATAAAATGAAATGAAATAAAATAAACCACTACATACAGAAAACAAGAACTCCACTTGCTGGAGAGAGATGGTTGTAAATATTTCTCCATTTTTAATTGTTTAGGTTTCTGCCTTGGTGAGGCATATCTTCATTAGACTTATCTAAGGGACTGCACTGACCACAGACTCTGAGCGTTTGAAGGTTTTTTGATAAAAAGAAATGCTCAGTGGTTTGTGAATAGATAGCAACTCTCATCTACCTGCAAAGGCACCAAACCTCTATGAGAAAGTAGTGCCCTGTGTTGTCAGTGAGTCAAAGATGCCCTGTACATACCTTCATGGTACTGTCGTTGAGAGGAAGAGAACATGATGAGCTATTGAAAAACCCTGGAACTTCTTGCATATCAAAACTTGGGACAAATTTAATTTACAGAGATGCTTAGAGCTTACTATATTATTGAATCCAACAGAATTATGTTGCTCTTGACTAACAGAAATATTTTATTTAGCAATATATAAATTCTCAGAAATTCCTTCCTAACTGAAAACCCTGCCACAAAAGCCAGTAAAATTTAGTTTAAGGCAATATAAACCATTGTTTATCCAATAAATTATGAAGTGTTCCAAATAAGAAAAAGGTAAATAATTTTTAAAGTTTGTGATAGTTTTGAGATGCTTGTGTAGGTATGATAAAAAAAAAAGTTGCTGTCTATTCATTGATTTTTATTCTCTCTTCTGATTCGTACAGGAGAATATCTTTTCTTTTTTATTTGACACATGGTGTTGTATTTATTTTGGAGCTCCAATCTCCACTAAATTCAGGTCCATCATACTGCCTCATAGTATTAAACTCATCAGAACATGCTGATTTTTCTCCAGCCCGAGCTACATGAAGGAAATGAAGCATGGAAATGGAGAAATAATAGTAAAGCAATTGAGCCCTGTTGCAGTTCACATCTCAAGGAGGAGCACAGCTACAAGGACATATAAATTGTTCTTCTGAGCCATTAGAATGTCAAAACATTGGAATAAAATATTTGTATTTTAGAAAGACTTCAGAGCGAATTGAGATTTTCTTTGATGCAAGAATTATTTTTCAAGGTCATGAGTTCTACATGCTCCAAAGACTTTCAAGAACCCAACCTTTCTTGCTGCAAACATATTGAGTAAAATACTGATTTCTTAAAAATCTTAAACAATATAATGTTATAAAGATTAAAATCCATCTTCAAATTCTGATGCAAATATGTCCCTCAATAATTAACCAAGCAATGTATGATTTCTATGTGGTTTAGATTTGTCAAAGGAAGGAAGGCAATTGCAAGTCATCATGTGTTTAAGTCTGAGATGAGCTTCTTAGAGTATGACTTTCATGACCAAAATGATATTTCTACCTATTATTTTTCCTAGGTTAATACTAGTCTAATGTGCATATATATTCAAGTAAGAATGGATTTATTTTTTTCCTTCCTTTCTCTTTTGAAAATAATTCATTGTTGGGTTCCTAATACATTTACAGATAGTAAACATTGTATAGAGAATCATGTTCTAAAAGTGCTTTTTGAAAGGCAGACAGTGAAATTAGAATATTAATATGTTAATTACACAAAGAAGAACTACGTAGGATTCTGTAAACTTGCAGCCCAACTTTAGAAATGAAGTATGTAAAAGTGATCTTCAGCTTCATAAAAATAGATAATCCAATAAATTTGATTACCTGCACACAGTTCTTTAATTTGAATAAAGTTTTGTAAACATTGTTTTATAACTATATAGATATGCTTCTTGCTGTATTAATATGCATATTTAAAAAATTTTAAGAGTGAAATATACTGTTCATAACTTTTAATCACACATGCAAGTTTTTCAAATTAAGAAAAAAAAAAAACAGTGTATTTGACCAGTTTAATAAAATCAGAATGTGGTGCAGGAATTACATAGATGTTAAATCAGCAAGGTGCTGAGAATACAGTTTGTAATAATCCCGTTGTTGTCTGCAAGAAGATGAAATAGTTTAGTACATTTGGATTATGGTGTCAAAACTGCTGATTGTTGCACATATCACTAAACAGAAGTATGGATGTATTTTAGAAAAGGAACACATATCATTCACCCTTCTTTTTCTGCTTTTAATATGTGTGTTTTTTCTCATTAATTTTTTCAAATGTTTACTAGTGATAGATTGGAAAAAGGTTCACATTTAAATAATAATTTAAAATTATTGCATATACCCAATTGCTATTTATATGCAGATGATTATATCAGTGCAGTATTAAATTTGATTCAGTGTCTTTTTTTAATTTAAAAAAATTTCTTAAGATGGCTGGAAGAATGTTCCTAAAATAGGTAGTATTTACATGAAGTCGTCTAAGCTTAATTGTAAGAGTAGTAAATGTTCTGCTGTTGCTTATTTTAGTTTTCTTTTTTATTCTGAAAACTAATGCTATATATGATGACTGACAATACTTGAGATATATGCTTTGTTTCAAAAACAGAGATTGAAGAGTTGATTGATAAAATTAATATTAAATCTATTCGGAAAATTCTCCAAAAATCATTTAAATAAATATATATTATCAAGTTGCTTAAATTCAGTGTTATACTGAAATCAACTAGAATGAGCTCACAAGAACTAATTATGCATATCTCTTCCCAACTCCAGGTACAGTGATATCATTTTGGTATGTTGATGTCAGCCTTGGTGGGATTATTTCGACCACAACAGTAATTAGCAAACACTACCCTTTTCTCTAGAGAACAAGTTGTTAAACATTTACCAGCACTCTACTGCTTAAATTATTTTATAAAAGGACATGTGATAATTGTAAATATGTTATGAATTTATATGATTAAAATAATGACATGAAAGGAATTTATGCTATATTTTACTACTAAATATCAATGCATATGGTAGTGATTTCCTGACGTGAAATCCTTGGAGCTACTTGTAGACAGGGAGAGGATTCACTTCTTTATGGAAAACAATGGCTAAATTTTAAGTAGAGATAATAGTTCAGGAAGTCAATATATTTAAATATTTTCTGCTTGTCCAGATAGGAGCATCAATAGAAACTCAGGGTGTGCCAAATTATGCCCATTTTGAACATTTTAATTTATTGAAAAATCAGATGCATTTTACTTGTTACTGTCTATGTCAAGGAAATACACTCAAGCCCTTAATCTGAATTGTCACCATTGCATTATTTAAAATCAACATAAAAATATAAAAATCAAATCATAAGAAAATGGATTTCTGGAGGTCAAACCTAAATTATCAATCTCAATTCACAAATTAGTCTCTCAAAGAAATATTCCTAGATCAGTCAGCTAAAGGAACAGAATCAAGAAAAAATTAGGTAGTAATTTACAGGCAATAAGTAGATTTTTCTACAAGCAATCACCAGATCGGGGATCTGGTAAATATCTTGATTTGCCAGGAAGCTTCGCTTATGACTACAATTGAGATTAGTTGTCTACAAGATACATGCAGGAGGTAGTAGTAGTTAAGTGATGGTAGCTGCCTTTTCACTCTGCCCTCTGAGGATGTTTTAAATTATTTTATCTTGATGCACAATTACATTTACTACATTGGATGATAAACAGACATAGGCAATTATTTTCATGTCAACGGCACAGTTACACAATGTAGGAATGATATTTGTGATATGACCCATATGCCCAAGAAATGCAAATGCAAATAGTGTTAGCATTTATATTGAAATATAAAATCTAAAGGAGCTTAAAATAAACTAAGCTAAACACACTGCAAGAAGCTAAATGATTTAGTTTAAATATGTTAAAGTTTTAAAGCACTAGCTGTAAATATTAATCTTCCGATTTTCAATTTAACATATATTCACTTACAAACTGTTCTAATAATAACCCTAATTATTTTCCAAGTCACCATTTAAAGTTTTATTTACAGTTGACCTAATCAAATTAAAGTTGATGAAAGCTTCAACTTACTTTTTAACTCTTTCTGGTCAACGATGCCTGGAGGCAGGTGAAATATATATGACAACTAATAGATAAACCAATTTATTTTATGTTAGTGTATGTTTATTTTTAAATTACGAATAATGTATATTGTGTGTATATATGATGGTGTATCAAAGTTGGCAATGAAAGGTAATACAATCGTGTTAGTTGGCTGGATATAATAAAGAACAAGAAAGGAATAATAGCATTTGCATTTTAAATATAATTGAAATGATTTCAGAAGAGTGGGATAAGACCTTAAGAAACATGGGAGATGTTTAAGGCTGTGATTTGGTGAATACTGTAACGTATGATTCTGTAGGTAAAACTTTTCAAGCAAATCAAGGCAGGCAGTGTGTGTTGCATTCTGACACTTTTTCATTATTATGCTAACTTCTACTGGCTCAGAATTTAACTGAAAAGGATGTGTCCGTGTGTGTGTGTTTTTATGTGTGTGTGTTTTTATGTGTGTGATTGGGAACCTTGAGAGATGTATCTGAAGCAATGTAAAAATAAGAGTCTCATAATGCCTGGTAAATGCTGGCATATTGTTGTCACTTGCCAAGTGACTGTTAGGCAATAAGACTAGAAAATATGGTACTGAATGAAAGGAGAAATATCTTATTTGCTGTAACCATCTAATTTATATTAGGATAAGGATTTCAGTAGCTAAGGAAAGAACATTTAGGGGAATTATTTGAGAAATTGTCACATATTATTGTGTAGATTTAATCTCATTGTTAACACAGAATATAGAGTGTGAATTATTTGTTATGAAATGTTACTGGGCATTGGTGTCAGTGTGGTATACCAGAAATTACCTCTGGTCTGTGCTTATAAAATCTAGGTCCGAAGCTCAGTTTCGCCACATTTTTGCTGTGCCCTCGATGCCATTCTCATTCTCTGAACTTTTATAGCTTCATGATTAAAATTGAGTTAACTACTATCCTGTTTCAGAGGCTTGTGAATGATTAAGTGAAAGACTGTGTAAACTGTAAAACACTATAAAAATATAGAGCTTTATTATGGGAAATAATGGGAATTATGTAAAAAGGTCGATTATTGTTATATGGTAAACAGAGAATTTCTGTTTGGAGATATATACATTAAGGAAAAATACATGCAATTTGGTATCCTAAATTGGGAAATAATATTCAAATAGAAAATTGTCATAATTAATTGAAGCCACTCAAATACAGTCATAAGATCTTAAAAGAGTGAAGTTTAACCCTACCTAATTCAACTATTTATATGAATTGATATCCATATGTGAATGGGATTATAAATAAATAACAAATCTTTCCTACTTAAGATGATGACTGAGTAGAAGACAAAAGCCTGCCTTTAGATGATCCCAACCTCATTGCTGAACACAAAACACCAGAATAGAGAAAATAAAAAGACAATAATGAGTATAAGTTAAGTGGTCTTCCAGGTATCCAGAGTAGATAAAGAAAATGAAGTTCTAGAGAATATAATACTTTTTAAAGTCACAGTGACATATGTGTAATTAATAATTTATACACTTGAAAAAATTAGAATGCAATGATACTGGCTTAACATGAAAACCATTCTGAATGCAATGTACTCTTGATGACTCAAACTCACTTCTTATATCTTACAATAGCTCATCTTAATCTCATGAATGAAGAAGCTCTAGGAAACTAAAAAATAATATACAATAGATATTACTTTTTGTCAGTGATGCCAAGATGAATGTTAATAAGCTCTCTTCTCAACTTTAGCTCTTAGTTATCAATTATTTTATGCTCACGTGGACAGACACTAGAAACAAATATATTAATAACTATGTAACTAATGAGAATGTTGAGAAGTACAGCATACTTTCATTCAAAAACTTAAACTTGCATTTTCATTTTATTAATGAATATAATTATGGTAATAGTTTATATTTTTATAAGCTGGAAAAAATCATATGATTCAGTACCCTACAGCTTCGTGTTCTATTTTTGTGAGTATAAACACTATGTTTTTGTATTTCAAGATCTGGAATATGTTGTATATTGTATATGACCAATACTTTACGAACAATCAAGTTTTAAAACATTAGATAACTATATACCAATTTCATTTTACATGCAGTAATTTTAAATGTCCAAAAATAAAAGGAAAAGGAAAAACAACTCACTACACAACTTATGTATAATATATATTATGTATTTGTCTTTGAATTATGTGTGCATATGTGTGTGTATACATATAGACAGAGAGCATGCACACATATACATACACATATGCAGGAACACACACAATTTGAGGCTAAGTGTTGAAGTAAAGTGAATGACTTTTAAATTAGATCCAACCTCTACAATTAAATTATATGAGCATACTGAGAAAAAAATGCACATTTGTAAAGGTTCTCTTTAGTAGAGATTTCAGAATTTTTTTCCAGAAATTTAGAGGAATGAACAATTCACATTAGTAAAACACACAGCATTACTTTCAATGAAACTATAACTCTTATGTTTATGAAATTCCATTACAATTACATTAAAAAGAATTAAAACCACTTTTTAAATGTTTTTGCTTATGTAAGAGTCACTTGTATAATAAAACAGTCTTAAAAATGTTAATTCAATTGACTGCAGAATTGATCCTGAAAATCCAGTTCACTTAACCTTGGAAATGAGCCATGAAGCATAAAACTTGAGGTCAGAATGTATATCAGAACCGAATAGATTATTTTCATTCAGCTCAAGTGCTATCTTTCTGGCAAATAGGCTTCTACAATATTCAGTATTGGAGATGTTTAAAACAAATATAAGAAATAGGGTACTGTTTCAGAACTAACAAGTGAAGAGGTATTTACAAAGTGTACTCTGAACTGAAATAAATGTAGGAAGACAAGCCGTGAGAATGTGAGAGTTCAGTGTATTGTTGTATTTTCTTGTGTGTTCTGATGTATTTTAAAAAAATAAGAAAAAATTGTCGCAGAGTAAGATACATGGAAGAAAATAATTTCCTCAATTCTTGGTACCTCACTACAATGAAGACTTCTATTGTCATCATTCTCAGCTCTGATGGTGGTGCCAACCTGGTTTCTAACATATACCTCCTGACAACTCGGTACAGAACATGAGTATCATTGTAATTAAAGTTTAACATTTTCTTCTAAGTGACTGATTTTTTAATATAAAATTATCATAATAAAGTTTTTCTATAGATACGTAATTTTAAGTTCCATAACATTCTAACATATACATGATTTCAATTTTCGTATAAGTCTGTGAATCACTCAAGATAGGCATTGTTAGGTTTTTTAAGGAAAAACTTTGATGACCAGAATAATTGTAACTTATGGAAAAAAAAAAAAAAACACATAAAGTAAATGGTAGAAATGAAAGAAGAAGAAGAAGAAAAAAAAAAAAAAACTTTGGGACATTTTGCCCTTTACCTTTTCTATTATCTTAGACTGTCAATAAATAATGGTTTGGTTTAGGAGGATAAGAAGATAGCTGAAACTCTAATAATTTGACTTTCCAATCTTAATTAGGCTTCAGTTCCCTCACTAGGATTGTGAAACTTCCTTGCGATTCTTTTTTTAAAAAATAATTTAATCAGGATGTGACATTAAATTATGTTTCCATGTAATGAGAAAATAGAAATATTTATACTGTCATGTTGATGGCATTTCACCAGTATGTCTCAATCTATTCTCAATTGTGGGAAGTCAGGGACCCCGAATGGAGGGACTGGCTGAAGCTGCGGCAGAAGAACATAAATTGTGATGATTTCATGGACATTTGTTAGTTCCCCAAATTAATACTTTTATAATTTATTACGCCTGTCTTTACTGCAATCTCTGAACTTAAATTGTGAAGATTTCATGGACATTTATCACTTCCCCAATCAATACTCTTATAATTTCCTATGCTTGTCTTTACTTTAATCTCTTAATCCCGTCATCTTTGTGAGATGAGGATGTATGTCGCCTCAGGATCCTGTGATGATTAACTGCACAAATGGTTTGTAAAACATGTGTGCTTGAACAATATGAAATCTGGGCACCCTGAAAAAGAACAGGATAACAGCGATGTTCAGGGAACAAGGGAGATAACCATAAGTTCTGACTACCTGCGGGGCCGGGCAGAACAGAGTCATGTTTTCTTTATTGCAGAAAAAGAGTAGGAGAAATATCGCTGAGTTCTTTTCCTAGTAAAATAGAAACCTGCTGGTTTTGCAGCTCAGGTGGGCATGATGGAACCTGCCAACATGTGATGTCACCCCCAGAGACCCAGCTGTAAAATTTCTCTCTTTTGTACTCTTTCTCTTTATTTCTCAGACCAGCTGACACTTAGGGAAAATAGAAAAGAACCTATGTTGAAATATTGAGGGCTGGTTCACCTGATACTCTGTTATGTCTTTGAGGTGGGACATTGTTTTAAGAATGGATGATAGCACAAAAACATGGCAGACCAGATTTTCTGAGGGTTACCCACTTTGCAGATTCATAAACTTGTTATTGAATAGTTGGCTCACAGGGTAGAAGAAAAATCCCAACAAGCCCTCCACCTTTTCCAAAAAGAAAAAAAAAAAAAGGAAGAAAAAGCTAAATTTTATGAAGCTAAACTGTCAACCAACAGATCTACTGAAGTTGCCATGGGAGCAGCTCCAACCCAGTGCTGGGCTCGTGGAAGGCAGCAAGGTACCTGCATCAAGCCAAGATCCATAAAGGTGCTAGTGTCATTTGAGGACAGTTTCACCCCTACCTCCCATAGATTATTTTAGACCAAATATTAATTAGTAGTCAAAAATGACCAAACAGATGATAACCCACCATGAGGGAGATGGTTCATAGAAATCTCCAAGAACTTCATATATGGTAACTATCAGAAATATGACAAGAAAAAACTTTGTGTAAAATATAGAAAAAAACACAAGCAATAATGAAAAGATGATCTATGATGGTGTATACTTGCAAAATAACCAAACAGTGTATTTAAGATTTAAATATATCTTTGAAGCTAGAAGTACTATGAAGAGTGTATATACTATATTAGACACTGTGCAAGAAGGAACTTGTGAAGCAAAAAAATAGAATGCAAGAAATTAGTCTGCCACATAGAGAAAAAAAGATAATCTGAAAGAACATAAGGGACAAGGATAAAATAGAGTTTAACGTGCTTATAACCAGTGTGATCTTTGTTAATCAGAATTCTAGAATGTTCCATTGCCTTG